ATTAAGGCTGACGTCTCGTCGAATGCGCCAACAACTCGACAACCGACAGCGGGCAGGCTACCGATTCGCCTGACGAAAATAATGACGATGACAACCCGTTTAGGAGATAAAATTGATTGCACTTTGGGTACCTACTTGCATGCTTACGTGCGCACATATAAAACTACCGTACGTTTGGGCAATATGTTCAAGTTGATGCACGTCTATTGGTAATAAAGTAATGCTCAAGTTAAACATATTATTATTTGATATACAGTGTGATTCACCGAGCAATGTTTTCCCTAATGTTTTTCTTCAATATTTAACTTGTTCCGATTTTTAAATATACTGAAAGACAATTTTTTCAAATTCTCGGTTTTTTTTTTTTTGTACTACTTATTAAGAAGTATTCAATGACGATATAAACTTCTGTTTTCCCAATGAGAACCACTCCTCCTTTTTTACTGTTAATTATTTAGTGGATATTTTTTTGAAAAATTTGATTTACTTGATTCAAAATTTGAATAAGTAGTTTTTTTTTGGTTATTAAAATGTTTGTACTAAGGATAATATAGTCCTTAAAAATGGTTTTACAAAAATATAAAATATTGGAATTATTATTTATTATACTTAGATCATTTTTACAAATTGTTGATAGATTAATACTAATTACTAAAATTTTAAAATCACCATACCCGTATAAACACTTTACCAGGCACCTTTTAACCTTAGAACACTAAGTTAAATAACTCAAAACTTCTGGTACGAATTTGATTTAAATACGAAAAAATATCCAGTGAATAACTTACAGCTGAAAGGAGGGCTGACGCTTGAAAAACAAAAGTTTGTATCCGCACAAGACACTCCTTAAGTAGTACAAAACATGACAAGAGTTTGAAAACATAGTCTTCAAGTATATTTAAAAATTCCAAAAATCAGATTTTAAATAACTGTATCATTGATGAACAAAGAGGTGAGCATGATTGTTGATTCACCCTGTATACTCAGAAAATACCATAAACTATACGAATATACAGACCGTTTACATAATACATTGCGTATTACTATACTATGTTGTTTTAGGTGTTATAATATTGAAATGTCAAATGATCTTAAAATGAAATCACCGTTGTCAGTGGTCATCCTAACCACTATTATTTTTTTCCTCGAATCGTAGTAAACTAAATTAACCTCTGGTTGGTGCAGTCTAGTATTATGGCCGTTGCGGGTATGGTGATGGCCGGTTACCCCAGCTCGAGGAGGCTAACCCATGTAAGACGAAAATATTTTTATATCATTGTTACATTTTGTATTTCATACAAATTAACTGTGAAAAAAAATTCTTTATTATTTTGAATGTAATAGTATTGATACTAATTATAATATTTTGATAGTAGTTGGGACTCACTTCTAGAAATATTTTGAACTTTGAAAATAAAAGTTCATTCCATATAAACTCAATTTACATTTTAGTTTCAACAAAATAGTTCACATAATACCATCTGATATTCATACAAAATATAGGTACTCTAAAAAGGAACCAAAATAAAAATATGGGTAGTGACTAGTGAGGAAGGTTAGTTTTCAAACAAAAAAAAGCGATATCATAAAAATGTTCAAGGTTAACATTAAAGAGTATCGAGTGTCTCAAAATAGGTTCGTAACTCTTTCCCTGACGCGGCAACTATTTTATCTAGGTACCTATAACAAGTAACAACACACCGATTATTCCAACGTCTTGTATTTAAAAACTACATTTTTTAACACGGTTTTAAGAACTTAAAAATTATGAATATGTATAACAAAAATATTTAAATATCTACTTGCTTTTATTGTGGTCGATTAGCAAAAGTAATCATTTCACATTTCATAGGTGTATGCTCTATACTGTACAATATAACATTATATGGCTAAAGCACGCGATCTTTTGTCTATATGGGAGTTATACAAAACTTAGATTTAGGTTTTTCGTTAAACGAACAAAATGTGCACTTTCAAACGATAACAATTTCTTAAACCGAAATGTGTACCTACGTTTTAATTATATGCGTGTAATATTAGGAATCAGGATGACTTAATATGAATCAATTTTTCTGATTTTTCAAATAATTGCACCTATGAGATGTATAATATTCGTCATAACTATTTACCAAATGTTAATAATATTTGAATGTAAAAACAAAAACAATATTATTTTTACAGTATAATATAGTTATGAAAAATCTCAAAAAAAGCGTAAATCTGTTATTTTAAATTATTCGCACATAAATGTTACCTATATAGGTAGGTAAACTGAAAAAACAAAACAGTTATTTATACTACAAAAATAGTAAGATTGGCTGTATTTTATAATTACTATAGGGATAGCTAAGGTTAGTCAGATTAACTAAAATATTGTCGTCAAGTTATTACAGTTATTCGAACTGAAATATGCAGGCTATTTTGCTGTATTTATCTAGCGTTAATACTTTTTAATTTAGTTTGCTTTAACAATATGTATATTTAGTTGAGTTGACTAAGATATCTGTATGTTGTAGGAACATAATTTCTCAGCGCCCTCCCCCCTTCACATAGCTAATAAATACATTAATGTTCATGGACATTTTTAATTCGAGTAACAATTTTAAAATACTCTTGGTTACCCTGATGTAATTTCTAGCTACGAATGTGCTTCTATGTTTGTGTTTTAGTGCGTATTAATTCAATAGCTGTATTAAAACTTATCAAGACAAAATTGAAACTTTAATGTTATTTACATTTTTAATTACTAGTAAATTAAAAATAAATATTAATTACAATTACTAGTAATAAGTAGCTTTGGCAATTTATGGGATAAATATTGATTGTATTTTCGTATTGTATTTTACTAATTCGATAAAATTATACTATTTTATTTGAACCGAAAAAAAATATATTCCTTATATCTCATAAAATTAAACTATCGAAGACATTTTTCATTGTAGAACCTGTGCAATCGTGCAAACTTAAAATATTCACCGTTTGTGGGAAGTAGAAATAATAATAACTTAATATGCATAGTTTCAAAACGAAAAATAACTCTGAACACAAACAGGAATTAATAATAGTGATTGTCTTATAAAAATTTTATTTTATTAATCTTCATAAAAAAATATTTTTTTACTGTATAGAGTAATGATCTATTAACTATTTATTTATCTAGATATACCAAAATGGATGTTTTTATATCTGAGATTTATAAGCTCAAAAACTACTTGGCAGATTTTTACGTTGCTTTTTGTAAAATGGTCCACGTTGTCAGTCACAGGTTTTAAGCCGTTGAAATCATTGATCCTATCAGTAGAAAAAAGTCAGGGGATTAATATAATATAATATAATATAATATAATATAAAAATGAAATGATTATTTTATTTTTAGTGTTTAGCTCTGCAGGAACTACTCGTTCAAATCGTCATGTAGTTTTTTTTAATTTACAGAAGATATTTTGGAACAGGTTTGAACAGTGGCGTAGCCAGGGGGAAGGCTGAAAGGGCTGCAGCCCCCCCCCCCCCCCGAAATGTTAATAAAATTTAAAAATTATTTTAATGGTCTATGGTATTCGATCAAAAACTAAACGTCCGAATTATTTCATAAAGTGAGTCTGTTTTACTCTAGGTCATTTTTATGTTGATTGCTACCGTGTAAACTGAGAAAAAAATGATAAATTTATGCACCTGATTAAAAAACTAATAATATAGCTTACAAAAAAATATTAGAAATCCAGTAACTTTAAGCATGTATTGTTTAAAATATTTAAACTTAAAAAAAAATATTGTTTAAAACGGGCAAATCCACTTAAATAACAAATTCAAATATTATTTAAATTTGTACTCAAACTTGTACTATTATATCGTAAATAATTTTCAAAAAATAGGCACATGATTATTTATTTGAAGCTCGAAAGCAATATTCTATTAAAACAATTTTCACAAACAAAACAACTTCAATGCTCAATCTAGCATAGTGAAAATGTTTCTATTGGTTTCTATGTATTACTATCTAATAAGATTGGCATTTGCGCATATTGCCATCGAATTGCCATTGAAAAATCTTTTCATGATTAACTTGTGATCAGCTACCATATATTATATTTTACAAACTTTATAAAACGGTTATTATTCATAATACAAGTTGGTACGAAATATTATTATTTAATTGCTTGTCAATAATGCTTTGAAATAAAGTAATTGGTACCTATACTATTAAAAAATGTTGAAAAAAAAGTAATATAAAACTAATTTTAAATGGTAATAATATGATTGGAAAGTCTTCAGACCAATAAAACAAAAAACTGAAGTATTAGAGATGTTTTAAATTTGAATTATTCAGTTTTGTTTCTGTATAATATTATGTGAACAATTTGTTGGCTCCGCTAAGCCAATGGCTTTTCAAACAGACTAATATTTCTGGCACACTTTTTTCCGCACATTATACTATTAGTTTCACGTATTTCTCTTAAGCTAATATTTTTTCCATACGTACATCTTGTTATTGTTGTTGAACTTGATGAAATTTAGCAAATTTGTTAGTATCAGGCACTAATTCATGCTTTACATTTTTTTCTACCGAAGTAAAGCTTTCAGAATTAATTATTGAATACAATTCAATAGCAATATCATCTTTTCGTACTAGGAACACACGATACAAAGGCAGGATAGGTACATCTCATTGTAATGATAAGCCCACCCAGTCATTAAAATAGTAAAATAAACGTAAGTACCTACACGAACACGATAAATCACATATTACATTCTAAATCGTGTGGAAGGTCAGATACTTCTGCACGAATGCATTAATATTTGTATAAAATTTTAGGGTGATACAAAATATTCATCTCTGTAATTTGTTATTGTTACATGGACTTAATCACTGTTGTGAAACACGTAGTGTTTTGAATATAATATTATTCTATTCACCTCAATTGAACCAAGCGTTATGCTATTCAACTACATAAATACTGTAATAATTTAGATTATCAAATATATTTTTATAGTATGCAATCATAGAAAGAAAGTTGTCGATTTATTTAGTTTCATTACATTTAGTCTTATGAAAAAAAAAAAATACATATAAAACATGTTTGTAGGTATAAAACAATAATAAAAATATGTTTACATATTTTCTCTTATTTGAAATTGAATACAAAAAACAGTTAACTAAAAAATAAACTAGATATCCTTACATTAATAACAAAAATTAAAATATGTTGACGTTAATATTGTGAAGAGAAGTGCATTATTCTGCAAACACATATGTATAAAGTAAACATTTATTATAAAAACAAAATCACTTGTAGGATTATTTCAAAATTCTAAGACCTATTACTCGTACAAAAACAAATTGTTTAATTGCTTTGGTTTCAAGGAAATTGCATCAAATATAGTCCAAATTATGTGAAATCTATATATAAAAAAAAATTGTCTAGGCTACCACCCAGTTTGTGAAGTGTTCATATTTTTGAACAAAGTAAAAATATGGGTGAATGAGTATAAAAATTTATTTTTTAAGAACGATGTTGATGCATTCAATCGATAGAAAGTTGTTTGAAGGAACCTTCCATTCCGAATAGATCGTCGTGTGTCTTCGGCTTTCCAGGGCGCCGGGACTCATCAGCTTTAATTTTTTCTTGATCCTTGAACCAATCCTTGTAAGTCACCATTTTTTCGTACCATTGGCCTATAAAGTAAAAAAAAAAATGATTATATATCATTATCATGTTCTACATAGCAATTTAATGAATGATTATTTTATAGTTACGGTTAATTTCAGCAATCGGTCCAGCTTTTCCCCCATATTCTTCTGGAAGCATGTCCCTTGGTACAAATTCGTTTAATGAATCTAACGAAGAATGCACGTGAATCTATGTGGAGATCAGAAAAAAAATAGATCATGAATACAATTTATAATATAACAATATCATATTTCATTGATTTATTCAATAAAGAAAACAAATCTATATAAAATAAAAATGACTATTACATGTACTTTAGACTGTAGTGAGTACAGTTACTTACCCTGGTACGTATTTTTTCTTTGAGGAATGGCTTCACAAAGTTGATGATTGTATCGACAAGTGGTGAAACGTTTATGACGTGCACTTCCTTCAATTTAACCGGATATGCTTCCTATAATATGTACAAAAGTCGAAAATCGGTAAATAGGCGGCATTGAAATTATTTAAAACAAACTTATTTACAACGATTAAGTACATGGTTGATAAGAAAATAATACAACAAAGTAGTATATTGTAGTAATCTATAGTGGATCATCTAGCCGTTTATTCAGCACGATTAAGGAATTGTAATCAGTTGGCTAAAAATGGGTTAACAAGGACTAACAATGCAACTCATGGATGTTAATGATGTTCTCGTAATATACATATTAAAAAAATCATGACTTAATATTTGTTATAATAATTTATAAATGTTGTACCATGCAACGACTCAGCAATACAATAGGGCAGTATGATGAAAAAGTAATAGAAATCGTTAAGCATTGCTAGTCTCGATCAAACTAAAGAAGACCACATTTTACAGAAACATCTTAAAGTCTAGAAAGTCATAAGTATATTCAAAGTTATGACCAAATTTACGAACTCTCCTTTTTATCTAATAGAATTATTGGTATATTATCACCTTAGGTCAATACTTTGTAAAGTTAATGAGTGTCAGTGGAATTTAGAACAAATGTTTGAAACATTAAGAATTATAAACTCAAACATTTTTGTTTCACTATTTTGACCTCAAATTATAAGTTCATAAAATTAATTTCGTTACAAACATTTCGACGCATGATATTGTTTACTACGAAACAAACAATAATTCATTGGATTATTATTATATAACATAAAAAAACAATTCTCTTCTGAATCGGATCATCGCTATTATTGAGCTACAAGGTCGGCAGTTTACATCATGATTGTGTTTATTTCGGTTCTAAAATGAACGGATTTCTCTTTCCTTCGAATACCAGAAGACAATCTAATGTGTTAATATTTTAATAGACAAAATATGTTTCTCTACAAACTAAATCTATATGGACCTTTTTAAAGTTCAAGATTTTCACAAAATGTTATTATTACGTATCACACATAATATAAGATATATCATACCTGTACACAGATGAGGAACTTTTTGATCAGAGATGGTGTGAACTTGGCAAAGTGGTTGGCAAAATTCTGCGGTGTGGCCACGCTGGCGTCCAGAATGTATACGTCTCCGGCCACGCCAACGTTTTCCTCCTTTAATCTTATGTCACCGATCATCAACACTACTTTCATACCTTCGGCCACGGTCGCGGCCATTTGTTCCAAATCTACACCGCTCATCATGACCACACGGCGTCCATTCGGCGTCAAACCCGGAAGTGGTGGTACGTTTCTGAAAAATGACGAATTATAAAATATATAATTCCACAATACTTGAATAATGACATTTAGATAAAGCGCGTTGAAGTAATGAATAATATGAACTCCTCTAGCTCGAGTGACCCAAAATACACGAGTGTCATAATGTGCCCATTTTGCCCACATATACTGTGGAGTATATACGTTTACTTACCAATAAACTGTAAATCGCATAAATCAATTTCTAAGTAATTGAAAGTTCATTTTTATAAGTATATTTATTTTAGGCTAATAAATTATTGGTAAAATTAACTGAGGGACTAATTTCATATAAGGACTCTAATTTGGCCAACTAGGCCGGAAACCAACTTACAATAGTTACTTGAATATTATAAGCTCTACAAGTTTTAACAATAATTTCAGGTGTAATTTTGACAAAGGTCAAAAGTGGGATGGAGCCAACTTCAATTGACTCAAATTCTGTAAATACGAACAATTCAATAGAACTGCAAAAATAACCACACACCATCATTAATTCGACGACAATAACTGTAAATACACAATAAATAAGATCTTATATAATATAACGTGATGACACAAAGTATATCAGTAAAATAGATTGAATAGTGTTGGTACATCGATATAATAAAATATAGAGTCGAGTTAGATAGTTTGTAGATGTATATGATGTAATGCTATCGAAACGCTCATTAAATAATATATAAAATAAAAATGTGGAACAGAGAGTGTATAGACAAAAAATAACATAACAGTAGTGCGTGTTGTTGGTAATTACTTAAATAATAAAACTTAACGAAAACCAATAGTCTAAAATATGACAATAGGCGTTTTAAAAACGAATTAAGAAAAAAACCGTGTCTTGTACTTTTAAAGTAGGTAGTTAGGAAATAACGATATAATGACCGCAACGATAACAGATTTAATTATTATGACACCTACCTCGGTACAATGTGTCAACCATATAATATTATGTCATGGTAATTGAATCTTATATTAGTAAGTAGTAACTATACATACGTTGTAGTTATAATATCTGTATTTATAATAGAAGTTTTGTTGAATTTAATTGTAATTGCTAGACGAACAATAAACACCATACAAAATATATATTTTTTACTGCATATACCTACTGTTATACCTTAAAATTACCTTTTCGCCTATACATTAAATTTTTTATTCGCATTAAAATGGAAAACTCGTCGTAGTTTTCGAATACCTTAAGCAGAAGTTCGACGTATTAAAATATAGGTACATACGCGACTCTCATCACTTCTTTGATCTCAGGTAACGTTGGGTCTCTGTTACTGAAGAACTCCGGTACAGCCGCTCTCATCGTGAAGTACATGTCCAACTTCCTCTTTGTCTTCTCCAAAGAGAACTTACATCCTCGGAGAAACGTCATGATGCGGGCATCATCTATAAAATAGACAAATCACGGTTTAATACTTAGTTTCTCACTATGTCTGTCTAATTATTAAGAAAAAAAAACGTTCAGTGGTATTAAGGGCGAAAAAAAAGACTTAAAAAATTTATATAATGATGAAAAAAGTTGCAGGTATCCATAATAATATTTTTCTGGCACATACCATAATTAGGGAACCATATATTATTCACCTTACATACAATATCGGAGAATCGATTAGCTACGTTAATTTTTATTACATCATACGCGTTTGTTGATTTATTGTCTATACGCATGATTGCATGAAGTATATTTTACATACCATGGTGTTTAATTAAATATGATACTCATTCTAATTTAAATCTGAATAAATCTAAACTTACAGTTCATATTACATTATAATATATATAATACATATTTTGATATAGAATGTTGATATAAATTAACTTTTGAACTAAACTAGTTTGATAATTTATTGTTTGTCTAATCAACTAAATATAGCTTGACTAGTTAATATAATATGGCCATCGTATAATTACTAACAACTTAACTTCTTCTAGTTAATTCAAAAAATAATACGTCAAGTTAAAATCATATTAATTGTAACTAACTATATTATTTATAATTATAATTTAGACTAATTTATTTTTTATTTTTTTAATCAAGTTGTATAAAATATGGTTTTAAATAAAAATAAACAAATAATCAATCCTCCTTGATATAATAATTCTGTTAGACGCAAACGTGTAATTGCCTTAACCATTACAGATATAGTGTTCACTATCCACTGTTCAGTAAAAAGGAATAGCAAATACATAGGAAGCATTTTCAACAAAATCATTAGTTTGTGACCATTATTTAAAAGAAATTGAAAGTTGATAAGGTGGGCGATTTGAGTGTCTATACTCATTGTTTAAAAACGTTTTCACTTTTTAAAAAAATCTAATTTTGCATATTTTTGTGTCATTGCAAAACGACATTTATGAAGATTTTTTTTTTTTTGTCACATAAATTACCCAAGTATTATTGTATTACACCCAGGGGTGAACGGAGGAGCTTACCTTGAAATTGCGGCAAGTGTGGTTGCAGACGTAGCCATTCCTTGATGTGTTCCAGATCCTTCTCCCTGGTGGACACGTCTTCGTTGAGCTCGGTGCGGATGTGCTGTTGCATCTCCACGGTGGGTTGTACGAGAGTCATCTTGAGGTCGGCTGTACAGATAAACCGATAACGAGATTATACGAACCGCTTCGAACTTCAGTGATGATGTCGTTCGTCCGCGATGAAGCAGTAAATATATTTTGTTATGTATAGGCGCGCAAATACAATATTAAACTATGGTAACCTATATCGTCTCTTCCGCGGCGCACGAACGAGAGAGAATAAAAATCGCTGTGGCGGTGTGAAAGAACGACAATTATTACAAAAGTAAATCCGGTCCACGAATAATGCACTGCCAGCTGATACTACGCGACTGAATCACGAGTACACGTCTTAGATAATAATAATAATAATAAAACGAAAGAGAAAGTCTCGCGCTCGCGGATACATTAGATAGGTACATAATATGCGCTCGGGAATACGGTAGGTATGACGTGTTGTGTGTGTGTGTGTGTGTGTGTGTGTGTATACGTACGAAAAAAAATATGTAATAGTAATCGTCCGTTGCATAACATAGTGACCACAAAACCGACTATAGGTCGCCACGGCCATCATCGAGTACCCACACAACCGTCCGCCGCCGACCCGTTGGGCAACGCTTCGGTGTAATAAAATAATATTTTACGTACACCTAATACGACCCATTATAGGCAGATAAATGCGTACAGTATTATAGGTGCGATCAGACTACCGACGACGGCGTCCGCGGGGGACGACCTTCCTCGGAGGACTCCGAAATTTCATCCAGGCGGCCTTTTTTTGTCCTGTTCGATAATTAATTACCGCCGAACCGACGAAATCGCAACACGACGCTAATCATTAAGCCATCATAATAACGTGATATTAACAATATATAGTAATATTGTTATATTTTTTATTGCACACGGTGTGCCTGATGAACATATTTTGTATCGCACCGACCCTGAAGCAGCCGATGTGACGTATAGGTCGTACGACGTACAAGACGTTATCGCCGTAAACTATTGCCGATGACGACGTCCGCGGCGGCGGGTGACCTTCCGCGGGCGTTCAAATAATTTTCATCCAGACGACCGTTCCTTCGTCGCGGTCCTGTTCGATATCGCATGGTCCCATCGACGAAATCGCCACACGACGCTAAGCGTCCGAATAACAATATAATGACATCAACAACGCAATAATAATACAGTAAAACCTCGATAAGACGGAATCGCATGGGACCATGACATTTTTCCGTCTTGACGGGGTTTCCGTCTTGACGGGGTTTAAAAAAGTTAATTTAATATAATTAAAGATTACATACATATTTATTTTAAACCAGTTGGTACATATTACATACAATTTATACTTATATTTATACTTATTCATTTATATTTATTCATTTATTTTTATATTTCGACATTTTAAATGTAAACGATAGACGGAAAAACGCAGCGACACGAACGTAACGATATATGATTTGATACTGAACCAAGCGTCCAAGCAACTCAGATAATGTTGTATAGTGTATAGGTACGTATCAATTTTATTAGTTTTTAATGTCATCGTACGCGCTCGTATATCGATAATCTATGGGTAACGACAGTACGAAAATAAATTTATTACACGAAAATCGTGTTATATTTCCGTCTTAGCGAGGGTTTTCATCAACTTTCATTACAAAAACGTGTCCGTTTCCGGCTTGGCGAGGTTTCCGTCTTAGCGGGATAAAATTATATGCAATTTGAAACGGGACCAAAAAAATTTTCCGTAATACCGGGGTTTCCGTCTTACCGAAGTTCCGTTTTAGCGAGGTTTTACTGTATTGTTATATTTGTATTGCGCACGTTTCGAGCGCGTTTGTATACCTATACCGCGACACCGATGTGTAGGTCGTAAGTGGTGTGTACCTATAAATGGCCGAAACCGACGGCAATGGTCTAATACGATAATGTGTTGTCCTTCGGTAGTGGTTCGCGCGGAAATGTGCTTTTCACGATGGTCCGCGAGAGCCGACCTGTGTCAATAGTTTTTTAGCGCCCAACGTACGTCGTCGAAACATCGGCAATATTTATATTATAGGCACGCGAGAGATTGTCTAGCCGGAAGACTGCATTGTCCAAGGACGAACGGACGTGTGGGTTATCGACGGACGTTAGTACAATATCATCACAGTCAATATTTCAAATACACAATTGCACTGTAGGCAATATCATTTTGTTTATTTATTTTTGCGTCGCCGAGTGATAATTTTTTTAAGTGTTTTGAGTCCTGTATACTATATTTCTATACTCGGTGTGCATAATTACATTTAAGTACTCCGTATTTTCGATATCGAGATATTACTGGCCGAGTAAATGCTAAACACTTTTAAATTTTCAACTCTCCCGTCACCTGCATTATTAATAAAAAAAAAAGGTTTCATGCATTCGTTTCAATACAATGAGTTTGTGCTACTCGCTGCCCCGCGGTTAAACGAATGTTTTCGAAGACCGGTTTGAACTTTCAATATGCTTTGAAATCTCGGATTTTGTATTTATAGGTTATCAAATGTATTTTATATCTCGTTTATATCTTGTATTTTATTCGGTGAAAATTGAAGTAGCTAATGCGTGTCTTGTATTCCGATTTTATTTGTCAAAAGTATTTTGCTCGTCCTCGCAGGGAGGGTACCGTCTTTTGAGACGTTTTCCTTTCTCGTCGGAATTCATACGACGATTGAAGTCATCCGCGGTCAGAAGACCTCCCGAATTCGAATTCGACACTAAAAATTAAAACTTAAAAACTTCAACATCGTGGGGATGGCGCTGACGATCCGACGTTTGTGCAACTTGTCCGAAGGTGTAAAATTAACGACCAACGCTGACGCCCGACGGGTGCAAAACGTAACTATAAAGTCTGACCGCGTGCACACCGTGGCGGGCGCAGCTTTCTATACGATTTTAGACGCTTGGGGTTTACTGGCAGAACACACCGAATGCATATTATTATACTCGTAATATTGAAGAATAATGATATGTAATACCGTTATTATCATTATTATTATAGTAGGTACCCACTGCCTACGTGTAGGTACGGTGTAGCAACTCGTAATAATATGAACGAACCGGAATCGTCAGTGATAGTGGGCACATCGCAACGAAAACTTTGACGTGCATAATTGAAAATTATGTAAAGGCAATTATAACAATATATTATTACTATTATTATTCCGGGTGATCTATTTAACGCGAGACATTCATTATTTTAGAAACTATTTACGTTTTTGTAAATATTTTTTACATAATTTTTAGACGTTGATAAACAATACATTTTTCTAAAAAAAAAAATACGTTTACTATTGTAACTTTATAAATTTTCAATTGTTTTATTTTTTAAGACAAAGTACAGTTTTAGTTCCTTATTTTAAAGCAGAATATTTTATGAGTATTTTATACATAGAAATCGATATTTTTCCACTTCTCCCTGCATCTAAATGTTAAATATTTTCAACAAATAAACTACTTGTCATAAATTTGATTAAGAAAATGACTTTAAATTATGTTAAATATCTTCGAAAACTTTAGTGTCTTCTATACAATCATGAACCATACGTTGGAACGGATCAACACGTATTAGGTAGTGTCGAAATGAACCGCCAATCGAAGAAATAGATTTCGATGGCGAAAAACGAAGGAGCAGGGAAAACGAAAACAGTTTATGTGCTTTCAATACGAAAAATAAGAACATAATTTTATAATAATACGGTGAATTACGATTTCGACTCCCGTCGTACGCTATTTTAGGTGCACATCGATAACAACGGAGTTCGGAAGACACTTCAACTACAGCGATATATAGGTATATAGGTAATTATACTATACCTTATAACACCTAGTTATGTATGGTACCTCGGTAATAACCGAGACGAACCGTACTGCGGTACGAACAAGTAAAATAACAATATATTATTATCGTGTCACGAAACTTACCGGGTAAATGCATATATTATTTTGTTTTTGCTGTTTGTTGTGTGGAATGATCAACAGCGCTAATGTTTACATTATACATCCGTTGTATGCCTATGCTAATTACTAATAGTAATTCAAATACCGAATGTTTTTGCTTTTTAGTAAAAATATTTTGTATATTTTAGGGTTTTTTTTTGTCATTATTTTGTTATTTATATCAATGTATTGCCAATTAATGCGGAAACATACACTTTCACGCGTGAAAAGAAAAATTCCGACTGGCACGTGTCGGTGGAATTGATGAATCCGGGACAATTTAAATCGGTACGATTATTGAAACGATTCATTGTCAATGAATAAAAATATTCTCTAATAAAATATATTAGACATCGTGTCCTTTATCTCAATAATTATTATTGTATATTTGATGAATACTAAAAACGCATTCAGTGGAAATAATAATTACTATTATGTTATGCTTATAAATGCTTGTCCATAGACAATTATAATTGTACTAATGCGGCGAGTGTTTATAAATTTTATGTTTTTCCAATTTTTTTCAGTAGGGAGGTACCTCGGAGTTTTTTCGGCTCAGAATTATTACTGCAGTTGGTCTAAGCCTGACAGTTTTTTTTTTAATCTTAATTTTTTCTTGAGCAAATTCCTCAACTCGCAGGTTTAGGCTGTTTAAAGCGTGATAATAATATAGCACGCATGTCATCAATTCACCCAGAGCCCTGGACTCATAATTTTTAGCCGTCCAATGGAGTTTGATCTTGAACTTTGTAACGTTCGGCACACTTTGGCGGTCTCCATTTTTGATGGCCTATTGAAGACGACAGTGTTTATCAAAAACCGAATGACGTATTTCTTCTGTAGTATACCACCGCATTGTATAATAACAGACTAGAAGGCTCGTCATTACCGCATCGCCAGTTTCAATTACGAAATACAATAAATAATTATTATTAATCCGTACGAAATCGCGTGTATACGCACACTGCACACACACACACACACACACACACACACACTCGCTCGCGTCAGGTAATGCGCTGCGTATGAGTAAGTATATACCGAAAATAATTAAAATGCAAACAATTTAAAAAATGTTACTCCATCGAAGGTACCGCTTCCGTGTGAACGCAGAAAGAGAAACTCGGTGCTATCGTGATTATTCCGTTCGTGTCTTTTTTATCGTATGTAACTATGACGTTGTTATACTCTCCGTACAGGCGCGTCGTGTTCGCCCCGCGTGATGTCTCGTGACGTACATAATAATAGGCACATGATTTACGGAGAACAATTATTATTAAAAAACGTTTTCGGAAATAAACGAAAAAACGACGAGTAAATAAATTTGTCGGGAAGTTACGCACAACATAATAACAGGTGGGTGAGTTTGCTCTCACAGGTATAATAACCGAAATAAAAGTTAACATTATAGCAATTGTTGCGCACCAATTATAACAATAACAGGTAGGTTAGGTTACTTATTGTAATGCAACTATATATAGGTAGTGTAATAAATAATAATGATATTGCGCGCAAGTCGGAATCGAGTTTTTCGCTACCGAATTAAAATCTATCGAATAGACGCGCGTCTAAACCTTTCACTTTACCGATGGTTTGTGTTCGATTGAGGCCCTTAAATTTAATTAGGATAATTTTTAAACGAATATGTAAAATTTACATCGAATTACGATTTGACAGTGCCCGCGTCGACGAAACGATAAAATCTTTTCAATTTTGCTGTCTATTGCACATTGCACAATGATTAACGGACTGCTGTCACGGTAATAATATGCGCTTAAAACTATTATAATTTAACTCGACTAATAATTATTACCTTTTATGAATAACTTCTTGGACGTAAATCAGCGAGTTTCTGCACTGTCTGTTTACCGGATACTGACGGTGGTTTTCCAACGTGTTGGTCACCGTGTGAGGACGACTGCGAAGTGTCGATCGGTACGAAGGTATATGCCACGGCGGTTCAGGCCGATGGTGCGACGGAGTAGGGAAAAGTATAATATTATTAGTGCCCACGGGGGGAACGATGCATAATACTAATATATATGATATCGATGACTTTCACTCGCCTTGGGGGCAGCGACGGCATATAGACTTTTTACCACGATTGCGAGGAATTCCGTCTATTGATAAATAATTGAATAGGTACCAAACATTTAACACAAACCGAGGACGAAAACGAAATAATATATAATATGTATAGAATATTAATAATAGAGTGCATTAATGACAATAAATAAAAATTCCACGACAGGTCTGTGTCGCACGAGAGGTCCGATCAAATCTTCGGAACTGCGAAATTTGGCTCGAGATACTGTAGTCCGATTGACCAGACCGGTATCATTGATAATCACAAGCTCACCGTTTCGATAAACTTGACCTGTAATATTTGAAATAAAAAAATATTATGTATGTCGTTGTCGTTATAAATACAAAGCGGTCGGCCAAATATAGTATGCGCTTATGATAATATTTTTAGATTATTTGTGGTTTTTTTTTTATTGTTTTTAATATTAAGTTTTTTTTATTAAGTTTCTGTCCAATATAGAATGTTTCAATATTTACCATGGAAATAATAAATATTATTTTGTGCGTTTTTGTATATTATTATTTATTTCATCACAGTTCATTCCAATTTCCAAAACACGTTCAGTGTCAACTCTTAAAATCAAACACAGATGCAATAATATTATATTATAAATATTTATAATCACCAATACGTTGTATATGTTTATGGTACAAGCACAAAATATATTATATGGTATTCAGTGGTATAAACGGTTCGTATATCTACCGTTTCGAGCAGGAGTACCTAACTATAATACCTTTACATACTTTAAATGAAATATACGTGAGAATAAGTGAGTTTGAATATCGTGTCGGTGAATCATGACGTAGACCACACCACTTGCTGTTCGGGATCTTAATGATATAAAATTACCCTTTTTTTAACATTGTTAAGTTTATTACATTTTAAGTGAAATAACAAGTTTATACAGTAACGATGTATACAATTTAGAGTTAAAGAAATATCAATATTAAAAATGGAAGATACTATTAATAAATTAGAAATTGAAACACATAAATAATTTTGAAATTATTACATAAAATAAATTAATCAACCCAGAATAAAGCACTAGCACACAATACAAACAAAATTTACCAAACTGTTATATAGATCAGGTAAAAAAATATGCATTCAAACATTCTCCAACCGCGTATTGGTATAGGGGAGACGTGAACATTGCAGCGGTGGGACAAAGGTCCGATGTGAGAAAAACTTTTTGACTGGCGGCGACTTCCGGCGGCAGAGAGGTTCATACAATCATACAGGATTGACGAGGGTGGGAGTGGACGGGGTTGAACTTCGGTACTGTTCGATGCCCGAAGCGATATAAGAGAATGACGGTTAGACGGTGTCCACCTAAGCTCCTTTGATCGACGAGTCAACAGTCAAAGCATCTCTCAGGAGTCTCGCCAGTGACCAATATAATTACTTTTTGGACAACAACAGTAGCAGCACAATATCCTGCCGACCTCGAGTAGTCGCCTCCCCAGTGATGACATGGACGACCCTCGGCGGCCTTGCCGCGGTTGTTCCGTTGCTTCTACTGCCGACTTTGCCGTAGCCGTCGCAGCCGGTTCCAGCCCGTCGAAGTCACTTTTTGCCACGACTATGTTCGTGCTTCCTACTGTCTGATCCGGAACTATGTACTGATCGACCAGTACATCCAGCAGAAATTGGCCATGTTCGGTCACCGCACTTTTCACTATTCACGTCGATATCTGAACAACGTCAGAAGACGCGCATGGCTGTAATTGCGTCTTCTCTTCGACAAGTTGTATAACCGGTGACAAATGCTCAGGCAAATATTTATAATCTTCCTCAGTTATTTCTGGCCAAAGTTTTTCAAATTTCCTAAATTTTTCAGGCAGCGTCGGTCTCTTGACCCTCAGGACACTTGGTTCACAATCTACATCCAACGGTCGCTGGCTGTCCGTCGTTGTCAAAGGTTGCACATTATTGGCCAAATTACCAGATGTCACACAATTACTATCTTCAGTATGCCGTGCAATCAGTGGCAAGTGTTCAACAACCGACGCACTGCTGAGACACGACGGTAACGGCGGAATGTGCTTACCGTAATCCGTATTTGCGTTTCGAATTTCTGATGAAACTTCGTCAAAGTCTATCGACTTGTCCAAAACCGTCGGTATAATAATCCACGGTACATTCATTTCTGATGATGCAATACTGATATCATCACGTGAAGTCGACAACGACTGTTAGTCGTTAGGACTCGAGAGACGGGTGGTAAATTTACCACATGACATATAATTTACAATATGACCCACGAACGGCAGCCACTAGTAAGTCTTCTGTTAGGTCGTCCAATACCTTGAAATCTGCCGGAGTCAATGTCGTCGTCGTCGTCGTCGTTGGTTGTTGGTCACGAAGCTCATACTGATTGCACACACAATTCTCGGCCTCGTAGTCAGTGGTAGGGTTGCCCGCCATGAATTCATTATCTTCTGACATCCATGCTACGTCTTCCACCTTGTATTCGTTGTTTTCTGTCTTGCATGATACAACATCCACCCTGTATTCGTCGTCTTCCGACGAGTTACTGTATCCGCTATGGGTGCTATGCTCGCACTGTTGCAAGATCCCGACAGCCGGAATATACAATCGCGTTCTCGCTTAGTAACGTTATTTTTTCCGTGAAACTTTCCATGATTTTGATTTTAGATGATTTCAATTCAAAAATTGAACATTATATTATGCGACGAAAAAATAATAAATAAATGTTTTGTCGTGAAATTTAAACCAACACAAAATGAATAATGGGGCCTATATGAATAAATATTCAAACTAATATCCATGACAACAAAATATAATATTATAATATTGTTCAGTACTGAAAATTTAATACATAGCCGATTAATTTCCAAACACATTGTACGTAATGTATATATTTAAATTGACGATTGTAAGATTCTTACGCCTTAGACTGGGGCTATACACGGCGAATATCGTTCTGTGCTGCTATACACAACGAATTCGCGAGACGAATTCGGTCAATATATTCGTCGCGATTTTGATACAATAATACAATAATAGTAATATATTAATACAATAATAGGTTCCAAAACTATTCCGAAGTTATAAATATAATTCCATAGTTAGGTAATTCTATGGTTAAAATTTTATAAAATAACTTGAGGGGTGAGTTCGAGAACATTCACATGGACATGCACGTATTCATTCTTCAGTCACTTTTGTTGTGTCCATCGCTCCAGTAGAGCCACCAGTTATATAACACCGAAAATATAGGTATCTTAAATTACAGTTATTGTTGTTTTAATTCACCAACATTAAATTAAATCAAAATATGCATATATAGAATTTAAAGTTTCGTAAAAATAATGTGAAAACTGTGGTGTAAACATTATTTATAAGGTTTTAAATATTTAGGTACTCACCAAAGTCATCTTTTTCAGTTTCACTTATTATATCCCAATTATCATTCAAAGCAACAGCTACAGCTTGTCAGTCTTGAATTTTTCTATCCCTTTCTTTGTACTCTTTACTTGAAATTTCCCAAATAGACGGCTTCATATGAATTTCCATAAAGAGTCTCTCGTTGTCAAAATTAGCCATGTTGACGGTAAGACACGTGAGACAATAATAATTCAGTTTTAAATAAGTATGTATGTTATACCTTTTCCGTACCCGATGAAAACTAAATATAGCTTAAAACTAATAATAATATAATAATATGTTTCTGCACTATAAGTATTAATTGTTGAGCTATTATAGTTTATTACTAAAAGCTAATTAAAAAAAAAATAATAATAATAATATGTTTAATAGTACAATACGATATTTACAATTTTACAATAATATCATATAATATAAGTACAATAATTTTGTATCAAAATACCGTATGGTAATAAAAATCGTCGCATCACCAAAATACCCGTATAGCCGCTACCATTAAAAGCAATGGAAATTGACCGTCACGCGGTTTTATGGATTGTGCGATTTTGAAAAAAATCGTCGCCCGGCAACGAATATCGCGGCGATATCGTATAGCCACCATGATTTAAACATATAGGTTTTCAACGACAGCGATATTCGCCGTGTATAGCCCCTGCCTTATACTAGTTCAATGTGACCATGTATGTTCCGTATTATATTCTACGATTGGTCTACTGCAACATTGAACGGTTTGACTGTATTTAATTTTTAAATGAATTGGTTTGACAAATAAATATATGACACAATGGAGTGACTATTGTTGAAAAGTCAAAAATAGCTCTTAAATCTAACCTTTTGCCTGCATTTATAATTTATAATATCTATATTATTCAAATATTATAATTTATAATAATATAATTTAACTATACGATTATTCTTAACGAGACAAAATAATTTTATATAGTGCACTCTAATCTCCGATGTTAGTACCTAATGATGTTATGTCCTCATGTTTTGAGTACATTTAAAATATTCAACCATGTCATTTTTCGTCTATAAATCATATTTATTACTCGACAATGATTTAACATTTTGAACTTGGGGTAATTTAGCAACATAAACAATACATTAAGAAATTATGACATTGTGTCTACACCTATCTGTGATTATTGTTAATGAGAATATATATTGTTAAAATAATATCATTAAAAACCACTTAAAATGGGAAAATCAAAAAAATTAAAACATTATTGATGATGAGTTCTTTTCCTAGGGAATTCTTTACATTTGTGTTGTAGTTTAACGTAAATGTATAGTTTTATACAGTAGAAAATAATAATATAAATAATATAAAAGGTACTAAAGTACCTATAACAACATTGAGTTGAACATTACTTGAGGAAAATATCTGATGATTATGATTTCTCTTCACGGCCGCATTAAGATATGTAGTGACCAGTTATAAAT